AATTTTTTACTTCTTACGGAGATTGTTTGCTAAACACCAAACTTTAAGTTCCTAGTGTTGGACTTTCAGCAGCAGGTCTAGATCACACAAAATTCGGCTTTTATCAATTTCAAAGTTTTTTGTTTACTGTTGTCATAGTAATATCGATTTTACTTAAAACTACATTTTCACAAATTTCAATCCATAGCCAATTACTGGTGAAAATTTTATAGCGATCGGACAAGGTAAAAACTACTTTTAAGGCGATTGAAAAATATCGGTATGGCCTCGGAGAAACTATATCGAAACACCTTAAGACAGCTCTTTAAAGTTATTGCTACATGCTGTCTCCTCTGTCTATACCTTCCCTTCCTAATCATGAAGTCGTTTACACTACGATGTCATCGGCTTCTGTTTGCAAAACAGCCAGTCTAATGATTTTAGCGTAATTTCCTATAGTTTAAATACAAGCCTAATCCGACTGAAACGAAAATAATTTTGGTAGAAGCAGAGTGACGTCATAGTGTAAACTATCATCATCATCATGGTCGTCATCATCATCGTCATCATAATCGTTTTCTCGGTTTGGTTCTACATGATTCTCCTTTTGCACACATCGCCGCAAGGGCAGCTACCTCCCCTACTTAATAAGTAACTGGACTATCTTCCTATGGCTCTGGAAGTTCTTTGTTCTTCTTTCTTCGGCCGGCCTCTTCCTTTGATGTAGCACTGGACCCATAATTTAATACAATTCAATATAACACAAGTCAATAAAATTCATTTTATTCACATTTTTAACGTATACAAAGCAAATATCACTCAAGAGTGTGCTGCATAGGATTCAATTCCAGTACCGTAGCTATGACGCACTTCAAGAGCTGTTAGAGGTAGAACATTGCTGATGACTCGAGCTCTGGAAGGCGAATAAACCAATATCCACGAACGGTCGGCGTGAAGACTACATACGCCTATCATTTGTAGACGATCTGTGCCTGCGTAGTGCAATGCAGGACTTCCTAAGAAGAAAACCCTCCAGCGAGGCAAAATTAACAGAAAGACAAACCAGATCGTCTAAGTGTCAACAATGTCACGCCAGAGTATCCTCTCCTGCTACTTTCGTGTTGCTCATGAAATACTATCTATAACCTTCGATGTTTTCACCTGAATGCCATTCAGGGACGCGCAAATAAAGGTATGGTGGGCCTTCACATGTGTGTCCCCGAAATATTCGGCCTAACAGCATTCTCGTGATTACTTCGCAGGCTACTAACTCTTCTAAGAGCATTACGGCTTGTTTGTGCTCCTTCAACGATGAAACTGCGTCGTAGATTGGTCTCGAAGACTTCCTACGCTTACGATTTGTAAACGATCTAGTCTATGGCGTGTGGTTTGTCCCATTTTTCCCTGTTAATCTGCTACAAGATGTTGGCTCTTCGCGGGAAGAAACACCTGGTCGCAGATTACCTTTGTTGTATGACTAAACCTGTCAACTGATCTGCCATCACAAGTTCGAAGTCTGCAAATGCGCATCAAAAGATTTCACTTCACACTCGCACTGTATAGCATCAAAGGTCAATTTGAGAGCAGCGGACCCGAATTTGCGAGGCTAAACTATCTACCTGTAACCAGAGAGACCATTAAGCTTGTGAGTGATGACCAAATGAGACCCTCTCAATGCAGCTGAATGATCTGAAGTCTCTAGTTTACTAAGTGATGTCTTAGAATGATCATTTTCTGGGTGAACCTTACGAGTGATAGCTTCACTTGACCAGCGCATAGACTATCAAGTGAAGTGTGATAGATCAATTTTATTTGGCGCAACTAAGCGGGAGGTTATTGTGAAGACGACGACGAAGAAAACAACAACAGCGGCGGTGGCAGCAAAGTACGTCCAAAAAAGGCGCAAAAAGACGAAACCGAACCGTTTCCTTAAAGCCAAGCCGAATCAATCCTAAAAGCCGAACTCTTATCGTTGACCGAATACCTGCAAAGGAACCCAGCTTATGAAAAAGGGCAGGGGAGGCCCTTACCAGCCCGGGGAGCCCCGCTAGCTAATCTAATTACAGTTAAGTTAAGCCGAAATAAAGTCCGGAAACTTCAGGCCGAAAGTGTGTGGAAAGTATGCTTTGCAAGGTTCATCCAGAGCTCTATATACCCCCCTTGACCCAACCCATAAGGAATGCACCTGACCTGTACCACTTCAAGGGACTGGTTGTGCTGTGCTGATTTGAAACTGAGTAGTCAAGGATGGTTGTCTGTTGGGATGATCTGATCTGGTGGTCTGGTATGGTGGTGACAGTCTGATCTGATGGTCTGATGGTTGTCGGGTCTGAGGATGGTCTGATCTGGGGCGGATCTAGTTGACTGTTGTGGAGGTCTGGTATGGTGTGGTGGTCTAATATGGAGGTCTGTCTGAGGAAAATGGTCTGGTATGAGTGCTGAAAATTGAAAAGATGAGAAGCCGAGTTAATAGTAGTAAATGGTTTAATTAAGGAAAAAAGGGAGTCATGCATAAGAAAAGGAGGAGAAAAAAATCGTGCACAAGGAAGCACTGAAAAAAATTCCCACTCTTTGAAAACCCCCACCCCCCCCCCCCCCCCCCTTCCCCCCCCCCCCCCCCCCCCCC